TGAGCCGGTGTGGGTCCTGGGGCTGGCAGAGACTGATGAAGTCCTTAGGGCTCAGGGCCAGTCTTTTTAGCAGTAGGACTAGGCAGGTTGAGTGAGCCCCAACAGAGCCGTTGCGAAGCCCCGCAGGAGTCGCGCGCGGCCCTCAGATGCCAATTCCATGAAAGCTCGGAACCTGTGGGGGTCTCCAGAGGCCGGTGTACCTACTCTCTCCCGCCGCCACACAACTAGGTACCTATATGGGTAAATGTCAGAGCTGGGCAAGTGCGTTCCTTTAGTGCGTTCCTGCGTTCTTCCGTACGTACGCACCGCCCTTTTTAGGAACGCAAGAACGCAGGAACGCAAAGTTTTTCAAAGGAACGTAAGTAAGAGGAACGCACCACCCGAAATTTTGAAGCGTTCCTGCGTTCTTGCGGAACCACCCGAAAAATCATATTGCTGCCAATGACCTCTGTGTCAAATGTTTGAAACTCGAGTACGTGTGTTTGCCGGTAGAGGCGCCACTTGTCGGTCGAATCGAGGAAGGCTTGTTTAGATTTAGTGGTGATGTTCACTATTCGATTCGGTTTCAGGCATCAAATGTGTAAAGTAAATATGATAACTTTTACTTAGATACATCTTTCAACTTAACTATTGTTTTTAAGCAGGTCGTATTTTTGTTGAAAACCCTACGGATGATATTGGTAAAACGTATTTCAGATATTCGATTCGGAAAAGAGATGTCGAGCTGCTTTTCGGCCCCGCGTCGCCATTCTGGGTATTCTGTGATCGATTCGCCCCGTGTTTGGTTGGGCCCGCGCCGCGTGGTTCGGCGGTATTTCTTTGTCCACGACTTCGGTTGTGAAGAACACGCCTGTAGTGTTGGACTGGCGCGATTTGCCTACTTTGTCCGCTACAGTGTTGCGTTGCACTGATTTTGGTATGATTTGCTGCTTGGTAGGGCCAGAATACAATACGGGATAACAGTTTGGGACGCAGGAACGCAGGAACGCTAACGCACCGAGCGGAAAAATTGAGGAACGCTATTCCAGGAACGCACTAACCGCGGCCGGAGGAACGCAGGAACGCTAACGCACTACCGAAAATCGAGGAACGCGCCCAGCTCTGGTAAATGTCATAGTCTAAAAATGCTCTCTGGGTTTCACATGCTTGTTCAAAGCAAGAGGTATCTGTACTTTTTAGCAAGATGTATCTGCACTTTTCCGAATTGTTTTATAGTGGTAAGATCATGAATCCGCGTGCCTAACCTTCCAGTATACCTATGCTACACCGATCCGTCGTCATGGACGGTGCAGCGGCCCGACCGGTGGGCACACCGTGAGACGGTAAATGGAACCGTTGATTTTGCCTTAAATTGAGCTCAAAGATTTCACGCAAGAATGAGATGGATGAAGCATAAGTAATGCCAACTGTGCGGCGCCTCGTGGACGTAAAAAATTAGCCGATCACCCCCCCCCCCCTCCCGGTGATGGATAAATGTTATGTCCCGCGAGTGTGACTTTGGCCCCCCCTTTTGCTAGCGGCTGCGACCGCCAGTGATGTCAATTGTCAGGTCAAAAACGGTCAAAATTCAAGTTGATAGTTTTGCATAAAATGGGTATTGATTTGATGCAGCTCGTCACGGCAAGTCTAATAGTGATCTTTGTTTTGTGCTATGTGGTCTAGAATTGCTAAAAATTGAGTTTGAAAATTTTACGTCAGCAATTGTGAATTATTTTTTTCGCTATACATTGGCTAAAAAAGGTATCGATCACAAATTTGGTATGTGAATAGAAGGCGGTAGGGACTGTCACATATCTTCCGTTTTTTTCTAAATTAAAAAAAAAAAAATGAAATAAAAAACTGATTTCAGGGGGTAAAAATACGAAAACTTCAAAATCTGAGATAGCAGGCCTTGCTTATTACGAGCGAGCGAGCGCAGTGAGCGAGCGAGTTCATTAAAGGGACCCTCCCACCTTCAAAAAAGTTAATGAATTGGCACGAAAGTGATGTCGCTCGGTTCAGAAAGAGCTAAAACGAATATCTACCAAATGTCATCGAAAAATATTCACCGGTTTTCAAGATATTAGACTTTTACTTTTGTTTACTTTTTGAGATCTCCGCTGTTCCTAGCGACTTTATTTGAAAGTGCGGCATTTGTTGCGCGCAAAGCAGCATATACCACCGCGTGGTACCAAACGTTTTAGTAAAAGATTTAAAAATCGTTAGATCTCCGCTGACGTCACAAATTCTAAGGGGGCATACCAATGCACTAGCCCCTTAGAATCCGAAAACTGCAAGTTTGAAATTCCATATCTCCGAATTAAAGCATTTGTCGATGTTGTGAGTGCCCAAACCGGTATTTGCAGGCCATGGCCACCAATTTGGCTATCTCAACTCAAAACTAATGTTAAGGTGGGAGTGTCCCTTTAAGGGAAAATCCTGAGCATGAGCGGCCGGCCGGCCGGCCGTGGGGACGCTCTTCAAAAGCTAATATCTTAGGAACGGGACATCCGATTGACAAGCGGTCTTCTTTACTGAATGTCACTTAGACATAAAAGTTCTGTGGTGTGATGGCCACCATGCGTTCTTGCCAACCACCGCACGTAACGCGTGGTAAAGTTGGACATTTTTTAAGAACCCCCAAAATTGCAACCTCAATAACGACACAACGGTTGGGCCGATTGAATTGAAACTCGGTACACAGTTAGGTCTCCATCAGATAATTCATCTGCATGTGTTAGGGTTGGGGTGCTACAGCACGTGCGCACGTGCAGGGGGCGCTCCCAGATCTAGAGAACGGCTGGGCCGATTGCGCTCAAACTTGGTACACGGTTGGGGACCAGTTAGTAGGGTGCCGTGCAAAAGTCAGTTTGGACCCCGCCTGCACGTGCGCACGTGCAGAATGCCGCTTCCAGATCACAAGAACGGCTGGGCCGATTGATTTCGAATTTGGCACACCGCTAGCGACCAGTTAGAAGGGTGCTTTGCACAAGCCCATTGGAAGTACCCTCTCGCCCTTGCTCACGTGCAGGGCTCACTATCTTGCTCGCTCGTTCTTCGCCCAAAAGGCGTTTTACTGGTAGTTATAGCCCTGTTAATTATACACCTTTTAAGTTGAAAACATTTTTCTGTATCTCTTAAGCTGTAGGCCTGACAGCTCTTCCCGCGAAACATTTTTTGGGTCGAAAATGGCCAGAAGTGATGTCACCTGAAATCTTTTGATCTTCTGATGTTGATGTCTTCAATATTAATATAAACCTGTAATAGTTGGTACCTACCTAGTTAGTACAATATCGATCAGCTACAAACACTACTGTAAAAGCCGGGCTGCACGGCTGCACTGCAAACCTCTTACACCTCTTATACGGCCTTTCTTTTGAGCCTTTCGGCTTTTTCTTTTATTGCAGCGATTGACAGCTAACCCGAGGCCGTATATAGAGGCTAACCGCTGTGCGATAATGACAATAATAACAAAAATAATCACCAACAATTTTTTTTGGTATTTACTACCAGCCCCCTCCAAAGTCATATGGCAGCATGGGCGTGACTTTTCCTACTAGCCCATAGGGTTGCGTGTTAAAATGCGACTTTTCGCGCTTGATTTTCAAGGTTTCGTAGTGTGGGCATCCACATACAAAGTATGTCAAAAGATAGCTACAACATTTTTATTTCCATTTTTGGGACGAAAAGTTCAAGCCCATCCAACCGTTTTCGAGATATTCGTCTATATATGACCCCATGTTTTTGATACATCGGAAGGTCCTGTGTTCGAATCTCGGACAGATCAAAACTTTTATCGTTAATGTGCGGCAAACCATTGCTGCAAAGTAAAGTAGGGGTGAGCGCGCTGGTGATGGAGGGTTGTAAGTTGGCATACCTGACCTTTGATTCAAGCCGGATTTTGTGGCACCAACCTCATTTTCAGGTCAGGTCAGGTCACTGACCTATGACGTCATAAGTGAACCTCTGCACGGTCTAAAAAACGTCGTAACATAGCAACTCCATCAATTCAAGGAGATCTATCACAGGTAGATGAAACTTTCAGAACTTATCAAACTCCCTTATTCTCAAAAGTCGTTAACTTCGGATTTCTCCTAAGGGTCACCTAACGTCAGGTCGGTCAGGTGATCTGGCCATTATAAGCCGATGGGGGGGGGGGGGATAGAGACAGCTATTTTGGCGCTGACAGTGATCTTAGACGGAAAAGACACAAATAGACTCAGAAAGACCTGCCGAATTGAATAACGTGCAACTTGACCTCATCATGAGGTAATGACCTGACCTGACCTTGGACGGAGGTCAACATCCTAAATTGACCTCACCCATACAAAAAGCATATCATTCGACGTGGCTGAGCATCACGAACACGATGGTGTCAAAATTGCAGCTCTGATACCATTTTAGGCGACTACCGAACAATCCACTTCCTGGTATGCCAATGCTTTTATTATCTAAAGACGATGAACACTGAACATTCTCATATATGCAAACATGCCACTTTGGGTTACAGAGTAAGTGGTTCCCAATCGTACTTACTACACGTTCCACACATCACACTATCGCTCGTAATTGCAATGCAAATAAGCTTTGGCTCGTTGGAAATAAACTTTGGCATTGGAAGATGTCACGGTATTACACTTAACATTGACCACAATTAGATATCAGGTACCTATCAATATCAGTAACATTCAGCTCATCCTCAACACATAACAATCAGACGGAGAACACTACGGTAAACCTCAAAGAGGTTTTGGCCATGGTAGGCAATGAGGCATAGCTGCGAGCAGGATCTTCGATCTGAGAAAACATGAAGATGAAATTACATGCATCACACTTGCAATAAAAACAAACTCAAGTGATACTTATCTTTGAAAAATCAGGATGAAAGAACATGAACCTATTTGAAAACATAACAAGCATTATCAGAGGAATAGTTAATGCATGGTTATTTAAAAGACCTGTTAATACCTATTAAGGTAGTGGATTGTTAACAGGATCTTAGAATGGTCGAGAGATGTTACCTTCAGAAGGGTTTCCTTTCGTGGTCACACATTATTGATGTTAACAAATGAACACTGGGTGGTGCACACCCTGAAAGTGACAGCTTCACACAAGCTGTTGTCTATGTTGAAAATTAGGCTTCGTTCCTGTTCAGATTAAGACAGTTGATGGCACCTTTGGTTAGCTTTGTTCAAGGAAGCATTCATTTTGCCAGTGTCGGTAGGGCAGCCTGGCTACATATAGGAATCTTGAGCCAGGCACAGCATACATGTAGTAGTGCATGTGTCCTGAAAAAGGATCAGAGATATATGGCTCAGGAAGTTATAAATGGAATTGACTCAGGCTGCTCTGAGGATGATTGACCACAAAGACATGGCTATTGTGAAAGCCCTGAAATAACTCATGAACTGGTGTGTTTTGAGTGAAGTGGAATATCAAGAACAGCATTAAAAAATAAAAAATAAAAATTGACCCAAAAATTATCTTCCATGTTTAGTTTCAATCACCAAAATCTTACGCGTTTTCATACAAACTAAAATTACCAAGAAATTGCACAATTATCACTAACATGTGGCAACAAATGCTTCTTTCTACTTACTATCCACTTTCATGGATGCAGGATGCATGTGTTTTGATTTCATTATCACAGCAACACAGTTGTACGAGATGCTTACACAAAGTATTATGTTATATTTATGTTGATGTTATTCAGCTAGAGCCTGGGACAGTGATATTGTATTGTTAAGTTTGTTCAAAACCAATGTCCCAAAATTTGCTAGTTTTGGGTGGGAAATGACGTCCAACTGAAATCAATTTTCCACTTCCATCTCCAATTTTCAAGAACAATTTTTCACTCTGAAATAAAATTTTGGGACACTGTTCACTGTTCATAAGTCATAACACCAGCTTCACTTCTTAGTAATGATAGCTTTCAGAAGACTTCAGTATTCCTTCATCAGCCTGTCAGGGCTCTAAAAATACATACAAACGAGTAGTGACCAACATAGAAAAGACAATACACAAATGTCGCACGAAAGCTGCCATCGCAAATAGATAAAGCCGGTGTACGCAATCTTTGCAATACGATTATACCAAATATGCTCAGTGCTCACAGCTAAGTCGAAAGGTGTCGCCATGCATCACAATTTATAAAATTCCTTGAAACTTCTTTTTTAACACATTACGCAACAGTGAAAGAATGAGAAAGCATGAGGCTGGCCCACAGTCAAGTACAGCAGTTTGCAAATTTGCACACAGTTACTCAGAAAGGCCTTTGTTCACACAATTCCATGCATAATGAAGAGCCAATTTTTTAATGCACACGATAGTTATTAAATACTTAGCCAGCACAATTTGTAAGTCTTTAAATGAAGGGAGAAAATCATGGAACTGCGTGAAAAACCACACCACAAGCCGCCTTGTGTATAAATATGAAGCGCAATGTATTGAAACACGAGCGCCAGCTGCGCCGCGCTTCAGCGCAGCCATATCCTAGGATAATTTTTGGTATATAGTAAAAAGCTCCCAGTTCTAGTTGTTTTTCTAGATGATATAGTATAATTCTAGTATATACTAGGAAAAACTTTGGAGTACCCGACTCTTTAGTGCCCTGTTTACTACCAACCGCTGTTCTGTCTCAAGCACCCAACACGCGTTTCAGAAATGATCTACCGTGTACACCAATCAGCAGCACGTATGCTATTTGACTCTCCTTTTTCGAATTTCTATTGGTTCTTGACTCTTTCAATAACTCAAACTGACCGTTATCTGAAAGAGAACACTGAACACGAAAACGGTATGTCTCTAGCACGCAGTGTTTGTCATCAGAGGTCGCGTTCGTTTTTATTTTTCCCTAGGGACAAGTTCCAAAACCTAGCGAAACCTTTTACAATATAGAAACATTTTACAATTTTTTGACAAATTATTTGAAACTTAGAAAACAAAAACTAGCCAACGCGCACGGCAAGAAGCTAATACGAATTACTGAATGCAGACAATTTCAAATTTGCCTTGTTCATGGGAAAAAGTGACATTTATCGATCGAATGATTTCCTAAAAGGTATGGCAGATATTCATTTCGTTCGACGAACGAATCCAAAGGCGCGGGAAATCAGCGGCAGTCTAATATACCTAAATCTGAGAGGACGGGAAACCCGTTCAGTCATTTTTCATATCCAGAATCCTCGTCATCTTCTCCACGCCTCGAACCTCCTGTGCTGGACAGAACAGTGAACAGTCTCATTTACCCGGCGCGGGTAGCGTATAGCTCCTCCACAGGGAGTAGATCCGGCAGATCCATCGTACAGTGGGGTGACCATTGCATTGACGGAGTTGGGTCATGGGTGGCCTGTCCACTGGACGGGCCCAGCCCCGGCGGGGCACCAGTGTGACCGCCCACCCACACTGCCCAGACCCAGACCATTGTCGTCCCCTGATTTATATCATCCCTCCGCGTTACGGTCCAAGGCGGACATGAGGACAGGTGGCGCCGCCGCCACTCGCATAGCGGCGGGAATGTGAACTAACCTGTTTACCATAAGGCCGCTGTGCTAACGGCCGCTGCGGGCGCCGTTTCGGGCTAGTTTTGACTTTGTACCGCAATTAATGGTTTATTTATAATAAAAAATGGACCAGCGAGAGTCGTGCCGGAATCAGAATTCAATGTTCTACAAAACTAAGCCATTTTCATTGTGATCACGTCATCGACTTCACCGCCCAACCCAATAAAGCAGAAATATGTCGTGTCACCGGTGATTACACGCAAAAATTCTTTGGCATATAGCATAAAAACCAGAACACCTTTGACTGCAGCGACTATGCGGTACTACAGAAAATTGTATGGCCTACCTAATGGTGCCCATTACTTAATAATTAAGCTGAGTATTTCGTCGCCTAACTCTTGTAAAACCGTATGTCCGCTTGTCTATGGAGTTTGGACCGTAACGGGCTCTGGGCAAATTTGATTTGACCGCAAAGGCCAACACATACGAAATAAAAACCGGCCACGGACAGGCATCAGTATCACTCAACGCTGATATCGTAAACCGTGATTTGCTCGCAGGTCACTGCATCATGTAAACATGTTGACATTTCTGTATCCCAAACGGTTCGCTTCATTACCTTCACGCCATCTCCATTTCCATTGTCTACATACAGCTCCGGTTATATCAATACAAATCTCATTTATTTGCAATATTTTAGGTTCTTAACACCACTCTCGAATCAACAAATACTTTAGTTGAAAAATACAAAACTGCACCAGCTGGTAGGTGCTGACAAACAACGAACACATCATCAAAAAATCACAAGATGCTTCACAGGTCAGCACAATGACGAAGCGCAAATGGCACAGCTGCGAACCTGACCGGTTCACAAAACAAACATCACAGTAGCTGAGTAGTACGACTGCCGCTGGCCCACTCAGAAGTGCGCCGCCCAGCCGATATACATCTGGCACAGGTTGTCGACACTGGTAGCCTCCTCGATCAGGTAGTTGACCTGGCCGGCCACCGACAGCGGAATCGGCACCGGCTTCAGTTTGGAGCGCACCTGGCCGCGGAGGCGCTGCTCAATGTCGCCCACGTGCGCCTGCGCTTTCTCGTTAACAATTTCGCCGACGTCGCGCGTCTTGCGCTCCTGCTTGCTCCATTCAACGAGTGGATCGTGCACGAACGGCCGCAGCACGCACATGAGCGCGTCCTGCTGCTGGCGCATCACCGACATGGTCACCTCGCAGGCGGTCCGGTACACGCCCTCCACGCCCGTAGGACCGAGCGCGTTCACCATGTTGTGCGTCAGCCGGAACGGCACGCGCTCCGGCCAGTCGAATAGCTCGCCCTTGTTGAAGAGGCAGTTGAAGTCGACGTGCACGCAGTCACCACAGGAGGCGTCCAGCAAGATGTTCTCGCCGTGTCGGTCACCGAGGCCGAGGATGTAGCCGATCATGGACATGACGGCCGTGGTCCTGGCGTAGTTGAGGCGCGCCGTGTACCACGCCTGCGGCTCGGCAAAGGTGTCCACCAGCCACTGGCTGAGCAGCGGCGGGTGGCGTGGCAGCAGCTGCTCCACCAGCACCTTACGTTTGGTCTCCAGGGAGTCTTCGAGACGCGGACAAACCTGCTTCAGCTCAGCGTTGGTCATGACGTTGCCACGCCGCCGGTACTGGGTGAGCAGCACCTGGCGCATGCCGCTCAGGTTCGGCACCCACTGCAGCAGGCCGCACTCGTCGTTCAGAGGGATGACCGTGTATGTCCGGATACGGAGACTGCGTGACCGCGCTTCGGCGTCGCTGGCCAAGTGCCGGTTCACCAGCCGGTTGAACTCCATCAGCCTCGAGTCTTTGCGAAGGTCGTCCTTTGGCTTGGCCATCATTGTGTACTTGCGACCGTCCGTACCCCGTATGGTGATCTTCTTCGGCTTGACTAACGACGGCATCACTTCTAGCTCGTCTTCGAAGCCGGCGATGCACACCTGGTCATCGGGGAACGGCTGAAAGTTGGTACCGTGCTGCGCGGCCGTCTCGGGCAGCACCACCGTCATCTGCTGCTGAAGCGGCACCAAGATCTGCGAGAAGTTGGCCGTCACTAGTCGGCGCAGGCTCGGGAAGAAAGCCGTCATGCTCAGGCGGCTCACTTTCTTGTCCACAGGCTTGTTGGAGAGATCCACCAGCTTGTCGGCCAGACGTGAGACGTCGCTGATGAACGTCGCCAGAGACGGCTTCTTCGTTTTGGCGCGCGCAAAGACGTCCTGACAGCGCTCGACCCGCATGGGATACGACGAGCGAGAGACGGCCAGCATCGACCACATGCACTGCCTGGGATAGGTGGCCAGCAGGGCGGCCAGGATGTCGCGGATCTGGGCGTACACCTCAGGTCGGCCGTGGCAGATACGCGAGATGATCTGAGGCAGCGAGGTGAGGAAGCAGTACAGGGGAAGCCCTTGCAGCAGCTGGCCAACCCTCCGGCACATCATGTCCATGTTCTTCGCCACCAGTGCCGCGTCCACAGCTCGTTTGTTGGTCTTGTTGTTTGACACATCAGCGCCATAGTCCAGCCACACACTGAGCAGCCGCGGCATCGACTCGTAGACATGCCGGCAGCCGTACTGGAGAGACTTCCCAAGCGCGTGCACTACGCGT